CCCCCCCCCCCCCACGCCAAAACGAGGACCCAGAACAAATGACGACAGAAATTGACTACAAAAAGGAACCGCATTGCGGAAACTCACAGCCTGGGCTCGGACGACGAAGCTCCGGCGAGAAGCAGAGCGACTGACGGAGAGCGAAGCCGGTTGGGTGAATCCGGAGCGGAGAGGGGCGCGAAGGGCCGAGGATGCGGGGAGGGCTAGGGTTCGGGAGGAAGAAGGGTGAGGGGAGAGAAGGGACTTGGCGGGAAAAGCCCGAGAAGAGGAGGAAGAAGAGAGAAGAGTGGTAGAAGAAGCTGCTGCAGCCGCCATGGATAAGTGCTTTGACACTGCTTCTCCCTCTCTCTCAGACGACGAAGAAAAAGCTTATCCCTCGAGATCACGTGGGGACTCTTTTGTGGGAGAAGAAGTATGAGGTGGAGAAATATGAAGGGAGGATTAGAAGTCGGAGTTCCTAGGGCATTTTCGGAATAATACATAAATATACGGTTTCTTTATATGATTTTTTTGTATGATTTTTTTAGGTTTTTTCTTCTTCAGATTTTGTCCTTTCTGCTAAATATTTTCTTTGTAATTATAATACAAAAAATCATAATTTCTATTTGGTTGAATATTTTATACTTATTATATTTTTGAATCCATTATTTCGGATTTAATTTTAGAAAAAAATATATTGAAATATAATCTTTATGAAATTATAATAGTGAAGCTAGAATTTATTTGGTTGTGCCATTTTTTAACAGCATGAATAGAATTTTATTTCTAGCGAATAAATAAATATGTATAGAAGAAATGAAGCACAGCATGCTTTTGCGTCTTCTATCTTCGGTTGCTCCGCCGCGTCATCGCCCCTCCCGGCGATCTCTCCGCCGATCCATCACTTATTTCCGGCGATTGAGCGCTAATTCCACCGCATTCTCTCTTCCTGTTTGTTGTTCCAGGTAATCGAATCGTTAATGCGAGACATGCAATCTGTCTCTTGAATTTTCCGCTTTGGCGATGCTCATGCAATGGTCGCGATTGCTTAGTTTTGAAGTTTTCCGTTTAGTTTGGTTCGAATTCGCGTGATTACGCTCGAACGTTGCTGATTTGGTCGATGTAATTTTTCCCCGGAGTTTTTCTGTTCTAGGAGACGAATCAGACAATATAGGTCGAGTCGCGTGATTGCTGATATGGACGCTGGGAATTTACTGGATAAAGCGAAAAGGCCTGTTGATTTCAGATTGTGTAAAGTTTTCGGGTATCATTCCGTTTTTGCGAATTTCAGAATTCTTTCAGTGAGTCGTCTAAATTCTGATTTTTATCGGTCTTCTGTTTTATGGTGAAGTTCAACGACCGAGCTGCTGGAAATTCAGGCAGAGAATCCTACGTTCCATGTATTGTTTATTACAGGAAATCCAGGTTTCGATCATGTTATGCTTAAGATGTGTGGGTTTGTTTATATTTTCGTGTGATTAGATATAGATTCTTTTATTGTCACCTGAAGTAGATGTTCATCTGTGGATTGTCATATCAGGTGTTGCGTCGTTTTACAAGGATTTTGTGGAATCTTTGTACAATTTTCTTGATGGAAATGCATCTATAACAGGTATGACACGAGATCTCGTTACACTGTGGGTTTGATTTTGTGGCTCCATGAGATTATTAATTCATGAGTTATTTGGCTTCTCCTCTCCAATGGGCCTGGTTTCTCACTTTCTCTCTCTCCAGCTATTGGACACATATCTCATACGAGCAAGGTAATCACATCTTCTTACGGTTCACCTGCATTTACCCTGTTGATATAACTTCGTCTGCTACTGCTGTATAAGAGAAATAAAGAGGACATTTCTATGCAATTGTCTTGACGTACTGTGGGTTTTGAGAATTGGGAAGGCCAATGGAGCATGAGAACTGGTGAAGCACGTTTTTTTTACATGAATGAGATTGCTATCTGTGTTTCATGGTGTTTGTTGGAGTTTATACACCTGTTTTTGCATGATTCCATTTACTATGGAGTCTTTGATGAACTGTAATTGGCATTTATACTCATTTTGTCAATGGAAGGACTGGGAGTCTGGAAGACTGTTTTCATTGCAAGAACAAATTGATCATAAGGTAATGCACAGCATTTTTCTATGTCAGTTTGGAACTAATCAGTTGGCTTAAACAGTTACCTCAGTTTTTTTTAATCAATTTCCCTAATTTGAGGATCTGGACTTCCGAGGCCTTTATATTCTTCAGTAGTGTACAATGTGGACCTAAGGCTGTCATTCTAATAGTTATCCTACAGATGGATTTCATCCGGCAAGAGTTGAGAGATGTGAAAGTTCCAATTGTATTGGTAAGATCATTTTCTCATGTGTATCTTCAATTCTTCCTTAGCATGGCTACGAATTGCTGTTCTCTGAAAATGGAAGAACATCTAGGATTATGTTATGCTCACTAATATCTGTATAATGGGCTTTACATATTCGTCAGAGGTTACTTCCTTTTGTGTATTGCTTACGGAGCAATTCATGTATCTTCGTAAGCTGGTGGAAGTTGTTCAATCTCATGAAAAATGTCTTCATCTCAGATCCGTTTTGGATTTCCAAGAACTTACTCTTAGTTACTTGTGATAGGTTGGGCACTCTGTTGGGGCTTATATATCTCTTGAAATGTTGAGGAAATGTTTGGACAAGGTATAGCTCACGTTGCAAGTCCTACAAGCATATACTTTCTCTCTCCGTGTGTATTTATCTGTGACGTGATCCTTATATTCCATCTTGTTGCTTGAAGGTGATATATTGTGTTGGCCTATATCCATTTTTGGCTCTCAATCGGCAATCACTGAAACAATCCTACATCGTGAAACTTGCAATGTGAGCTGGTTTTCGCTCTTCTGTCTTATCCACCATTCTATGTTTTGTATACGTCATCTCCAAATTTGAAAAAACTAATGAGGCATCCGAGTTGTTTTAAAGTCCTGTTCATTACCTTAAACATTTTATGTGTGAAGTTTTCATATGATCTTGAGTCGTGAAATTCGGTGCTTAAGTTAACTAACAATATGAATGAACGGGGTTGATTGTGAAGTTTTTGGTGTGATCTCAAGTTCTGAAATTCTTTCTTACTCCTTTTCATTCTTGAAATCTTATTCCATGATCAAGGCCCGTTGATAAATGAGAACATGGTGAATTTCAGGTCATCATTTCTGTCGACTACAGCAAGTCTTCTGATTGCATCTCTTGGACTGTTACCTATGGGGGTCTCTCGGCTTTTTGTATCAAAGTTCATTGGGAATTCATGGTCTGATGCTGCTGTTCAAGCCGCTTGCACCCACTTGAGGCAGGTAGTTTCTTGTATACAATACAGATGTTCTTTTTGTTTTTATGTTTCTATCCTCCGTAATTTTTGTTTACTTGCAGTATCACACCATGCGCAATGTCCTCTTTATGGCAAAGACAGAGTTTACAAAGGTAAATACCTTTTTTCATGGTATCATATGGCACCCAAGAAAAGTTTATATGATGTAATTTAGCTGTCTCATAGGCTTTGTGATTGTGTAGTGTCTGGATCTAATTGGACTCAAAATTGTATATGATCAATGAAACAAAGCCAACTCCCGAGTTTGTGGCTTCTTAACCAGGACATAGGATTCTTTGGACCAGATAGTTTATTTATTATGAGTTGTATAACGGTTTCAGTTATACAACTCATAATATTAGTTGGCTAGTCTTGGTTCATTGATAGTAAACAGGTTCAAAAGATCAGATATCATTCACTATGATGGAAACCAAGGGATGTCAGTATAGTCAGTTTTACAGATTAACAAGTATTCAAATGGTAACCATGTTCATCTTTTTCACACCAGCTCGCCGAGGAGCCAGATTGGGATTTCATGAGAGAAAACCAGAGCAGACTTGCGTTTTTATATGGCATTGATGATCACTGGGGTCCACTGCAAATGTTTGAAGAGGTTAGTTTCCGTTTTCTTTTCTTCTCCCTTTCTGTTAAAGGTCAGTCTTCATACGCTTTGTTAGACAAGAAGAAAGAGAGCTTGTAATTCCAGGGATTGCATGTCTAGACCCAGAAAAATTTCAGTAACCTCTGTGATCCGAATATCATTGTTTGTTCATCTTGAAAAATTTTCGAAAAATTTTTGTAGGACAAACTGTAATGGAGTTTTATAAACCCAGTCTAGTGGGGATCGTTGTTGCCTTCAAGTTCGTTTATAGGGGGTGGACGCTGGCGAGTACCCGAATTTTTGTGTCACCCAACCTCGGTCTCGTCCTCGTGGGTTTTTTGGGGTATTACTTGATCTCGGTCTCGTGAGTGAAGTCGTGAGTGAAGTCGGGTACCTGGATCCAAGTCTCGCAAAGTTTTGAAGTCTTGCATTTTTTGTCTCTCTGTCTGTTTGTCCAGATATCGAAGCAGGCGCCAGGTATTCCCTTATCGATCGAGAGGGAAGGCCACACGCATGGATTCTGCTGCACGGTCGCTGGCTCGACGTGGGTCGCACAATACGTAGCCACTTTGGTAAAGGATCGCATTTCACAGCTCCAGTGAGGTACGATAAAGAACCATTTACAACTTGGTATTGGACCCCACTCTCTAGAACTGTATAACCATGTCGTCACAACTATGGTGAGAATGTCGGTTGACTGAAGAAATTTGATAAGAATCTCTTCATCTCGGGTCTAATTGATGGTGCTTGGTCTGAATGGGTTTGGATGATCCGGTTTAATTTGATTCATCCGGTTTGGTTTGGTTTGGCTGGGTTAAGAAAAAGTACATACTGTGGAATGTGGTCACTTTCTTAGGTTTGGAGAAATAGTTATGACGAATATTTTGAATTTACCGTTAACAAATCATCATTTGGATTAAGTCGTAACTCAGCTGATGTGATCTTTTTTTTTTTCTTTCAGACAAACTTGTAACCTGTCCGGAAAATGACCCAATTTACGTAATAGTTCCGACCGTAATTAAATAATTATAATGCAATCTATTTATTTTTCGCGTTTATTGCAGAAATCAAGTGAGGTGAGATTCACCTAATCCAAATCAACCAAATCCATTTGGATAATTCCAAATTAATAAAGTTCTATGTATGTATGTATGTATGTATGTATGTATGTATGTATGTATGTATGTATGTATGTATGTATGTATGTATGTATGTATGTATGTATGTATGTATGTATGAGTGATGTGGGCTCCGTCGAGCAGGCATTCTACACGGCCGAAAATAAGCTGCAGAATCGAGTCATGTCACAATGGGACATCCCCACTCAAGTCTTTCCACTTCGCAGCCGTTGGATTCCACTTTTATTTTTATTGAAGTACAATCAACGGTCCAGATCTTTTCCACAATTATATAAAATCACATAGACATGTGTACATACCAAAACATCTTTCCTCCCTTTCTCTCACAACAAACACGGCATAACTCTCTCCCTCTCTCTCTCTAACAATGGCTGAGAGAACCAAGAAGAAGAGGGAGATGTTGAAGAAAATCTCAGTGGTAGACGTACGATGTATGAGCAACAGTTGTAAGAAACCGAACCTCTCCGACATCTTCAACCCTATCCCGTTAAAACCCCGAAATACCCTTCTCCCACACCTTAATCACCGCCACTGCCACTCCTCCTCCTCCACCAGGACAGCAACCACAGAGGATTCCTCCTCCTCCTCTTACTCCTCCACCACCACCGCCACGTCATCTCCTCTGCCCCCCCCCGCCCGCCGTCTCGGCCGCGTCGGTGGCGACGGAGTCGCGGTGGAGAAAGATTCCGACGACCCTTACTTGGATTTCAGGCGATCGATGTTCCACATGATTCTTGAGAACGAGATTTACTCCAAGGATGATCTGAGAGAGCTTCTCAACTGCTTCCTTCGTCTAAACGCACCGTTTCATCACGCCGTCATCCTCCGCGCCTTCACCGATATCTGGGACGGCGTTTTCAGCTCCTCCTCCGCCAAACGCCCCGGAACTCCAGCGCTTGTGGCCGGACCTTTTGACATGTGCGTGTCACGTGACTTGTTTTAGATGGAAGGCCCTCTTGTTCTTTTTTTTCTCCCTCGAGTGGAGAGGGAATGTGTAGAGAGTTTCTCCCTTATTACCACTGTAAAAAAAACTTCCGTTTAAACGTAAAAAAAAAAGGTTTTGATATTTCCTTACAAAACTAAACGCATAGTAAATATCTACTGTACTATTACTGCATTTATCTTAGTTTTATTTTATCATCATCCAATTATAATTTTCTCCCATGTAATTAAACACAGATACGGTAAAAAAAATACATAAGGGTTAACTGCTAATCGAATTCGAATCAGTAAATAGTTTGAATGAATGTGTGTAAAAACACAGTGCAAGTCTGAAATGGACTGAGAGAGAGATATAGTGGATGACGTAACCCTCTGACGTTGTCTGTCAGTATATTAATTTAACTGCATGCGTTTGAACTTTTACGTGTATTACTTCGGCAGAAAACAAAATTACAAACCCTATGGAATAATCTTGGAAATTAGATTACTTTATGAAGCGCATAGAGTTTTATTTTTGTTATAGAAATAGAGTTTAGTTTTTCTTGGGTGATTACTTTTACGTGTAATTCTTCAACGTCGAAGTGAAAGTATATTCAGTTTTTGTTTTTAAGGTGATTTGTATTATATATCCAAAAAAATACAAACCAGTTTCTGTTTTTGACAAAAGATAATGAAATCCATGTGAAAATGGTAATATGTCTTCAAAATAAAACAATCCCGATCTAATTTCTAATTTCTTGCATCAAATAGTACAATCTGCAAATAAAGATACTCTATAGACGACGAAGCCAATTTGGCTTCATGTTGAACGAGCTTTTCATGTAGCTCTTCAATGGAGATCGCCACATCTCGAGCCTGAACCATATCGACCACGGGTTTGTAGTCTTCGGAAAGACCGGTCAAGACTGCATCGAGGAGGTCTTCATGATCCAATGGCTTCCCAAGAATTGCAAGCTCATCGGATTTGGTGGTGATGAAGCGAACATATTCATCCACTGATTGCGTGCCTTTCACGCAACGTCGAATTTGATCACGAAGCTGAAGAAGATGGCCTCGTGAGGCTTTGCCATACACATTAGCGAGGGTTTTCCAAGCATCACGAACAGAGATGGCACGAGCTACCACCGGTTGAAGGTTGAGAGAGATGGTGCCAAGGAGAGCACTGAACAGAAGACGATCTTGTTGCTTAAAGGGAACAAAAGCAGGATTGTCAATGAGAATACCATCTGTGGCAAGTTTAGCCGGCGGAACCGATTCATCATCCATGATAAAACAGTCAAGCTTGTGCCCTTCGAGAAGAGCACGGATCTGAATGCTCCAAGTGATGTAATTAGTGGAGATCAGCTTCGTCACGTTCGTCATGTTGACGGAAAGGAGAGATTTCGTGGGCTCATTGGCATCAAAGGTAGTGGCAGATTCGGAGGAGGCATTGTCACGCGTGGCCATGGCGTCGGAGAAAAAGGGTTGACGTCGGAGCAAGCGAACGTCGTCGGCAGAAGAGAATAAACTCAGATGGCTAGGATTTAATGCTGTTAGGGTTTGTCGTGAGACTTAAATCTCTGATACCATGAGAGATAAATGGCTTTCGTGTATTATTATGATCACAAGATACAAGCATATATAGATACAAGAGATAGAGATATATAACTAGAGTATCCTAGAATATAGGAAGTATTCCTAATATAAAAGATATATCAGAAGATACGATAATATCTTCAATACTATCATGCGGAGGCTTCCGTTTGATAGCTATAGTACATTCCGAATGGTTCGATCGATCTTCCACCTCGTATGTTAAACCGTTCGGCACTTTGCTCGGAAAATCCTATTGTTCCGCTCTCTCCAAAGCTCGTACACCGTAGTTTGGAGAATGATTTGTCGGATCCGTTTCATGTCCCTTCCTTTGATCTGCGTTTCGTTGCTTGCACAATCCGTGCATTGGTAGATGTTTGATGGAGGATCCTGACTGCATAGGGCCACAAAGTGTCGCCATACTTGTCTGCTATATCTGCATTCAAAGAACAAATGCAGGTGTGTCTCCTCTAGCTCGTCGCATAACATACAAGTTGTCTCCGAGATCACTCCCCACCGATGAAGTCGATCTTTGGTCGATAATCTGGACAACATCACCTGCCATATCAGAAAAACATATCTAGGTATGCCTTTAGGGAACCAAACAATGGAATGCCAGGGAACCTCGTCGCCGCGCTGGCGGATTTGATGCCACGTTCTGCTCGTGTAGAAGGTTGGCCTGTAGTCATCATCCCGATATTTCCATAGAGCTTGATCATGATTTGTCGTGGCTGATGGCGGTGGGATGGTGGAGAGAAAGGTGAGGAAGACTTGTTGACTATCTGATCTAGCATTCTGTAATGTCCAATTGTCTCCATTTACTGCACTTCTGACCGTGACTAGGGTCGGAATACGAAAATTCCTCGACCCCGTTTCCCCGATGTATTTTATCAGTGGCCCTAATGTCATCCATGGGTCATGCCAGAAGAGAGTGCATTCACCATGGACTGTCTCCTTCAAATCTAGTAATTTACGCAGATTCCAGGAGAACCGAAGGGAATGTATCATATTTCAGAATCCCTTGGCTTTAAACAGATTGTTATGTGTCCAAACAACCCATAATGAACCCGCTTTAGAGAAGAGTATCCAGATTAGCTTTAGCCTAAATGTGGTGTTATAATCGGCAATGCTGCGGAGCCCTATCCCTCATTCCTTTCGAGGCTTACAAATGTTTGTCCATGACATTCGGCGGCTTCCCGACCCAGAGGTAGACCCCGACCACAAGAAGTTCGGACAAAGACTGTCGACTTGCTTTGTGAAGAATTTTGGCAGTAGAAAGACCATTCCCCAAGCATTAATCAAGCCGTATATAACCGAGCTAACTAGTTGGACTCTACCTGCACAAGACAAGTGTTTAGTGGTCCAAGAAGTGACCTTAGCCTTAATTTTCTGTAGTAGTGGTTGGTAGTCCGCCTTCGTGAGTCTCGCGTGGCTGAGGAGAACGCCCAAGTATCTGACAGGAAGGGAGTCGACTTGGAATCCCCTTGTCAAAGGCCTCGTCTCCCCTTGAAATAACCCGCTAGTTCCCCGTTGATAGCCGCTGAGAATTTAAGAGTTCCCATATAAGTTGTTATCATTTTCACAAAAATGTCGGACAGGTCTAAAGCTTGAAGAACCCGTGTGACTAACAAATATATTGAGTTTGATTCGCTTAATTAATGAAATGTCCAAATAAATCTTCTTTTTTCCCATTATTATTATATATATATATATGTATGTATGTGATATTAATGTAAAATCTGGCATGTAATTGATGTTTTCATCTTCAACTTCGATCACCACGTCACTTGTGATAAAATTTTAAATAGCCAATTTTGTTTTATTTTTTTAAAATTATATAAACAACACTATTAGCGTTTAGTACGTAATAAGAAACTTTCAAATAAATAAAAATTTATAATAATAAAAAAAATCGGATTTTAGTAATTACCGATATAGATAAATATGGTCTCTCCACAGGACTTGGTCGAAATCTTGGGGCGTTTTGTCCTCCGCCCGATCTGATGTTAGTGGGAAACACAAAGGGTCTCCACAAAAGCAAGAGAGAGCCCTTTATATAAGATTTATTTATTATGGAGAAAAAGAAGGTTGGCTTAAGAATGAATGACATTGACAAACTCAACTGGTTTGGTTCAATCCAGCTCAGCATATACCAAATAGGAAACAGTTTATGTTGTTCTTTCCCTCCACTGGAATTATGTACGTGTGGATCTGTATATGTATATTTAATATAGAACAATTAGTATCTACTTTTCATGTATATATAAATCTTTTGACATTATTAAAATAGTGATAAGTTATTTCTACCTATATTGTTCGATGTTATCCCAATTAAAGTAAACTAAGATTCCTTTTTATCAAAATGCCAAAAAAATATTAAATATATAATTGACCATATTATTCAAATGAATGTACGAAATTATTTTATTTGTGGCTTATCCACAATAATAAATAATAATAATAATCTTTTTTCAAAAAATTTAAAGAGGCAGTTTAACTGAAACTAGTCAATCAAGAAATGCAACATCACTTGTACATGTAGAATACTATTTATGAATTTGGGTTTGTTGCTATTACATATGCCAACAAAAACAAATAAGATGCTTGGAAAGCAAAAATATACCAATTTCATGTGTCTCTTCAAAGGGTATCACAATGGAGCCTAGGGCATTTCCTCTACTTAATTATAAGCTAATTATGCTGCAATTCATTTGATTATTTTTTTTTCTTTTTTCTCTATCAACAAATTAAAACATATAAGGTGTTTTATAATAAAACATAAAGTCTCGTGTACACGTTGTAGATCAAATAGATATGCTACAAACACGAAAGGAATGAAATAAGAAAAGAAAGTAGACGAGATATATACGAATCTCTGATATTTTATCGGGATATATGAGTCTATCCGTGTTGAGCTTTTTACGTTAACTTATCGTGTTTAAAGAGTTTGGAGAAAATGACTCTAAACTAAGTTGGAGGGTTACATTACATGTTTGTTCCTTCAATACTAGATAGATAGATAGATAGATGTGTCTAAATCTTCATGTGGTTGAAGTGAAAAGGTGAGACATATACAAATGGCCGACATATTGAATCTGAACTTAAAAAAATACAATTACTACTTTTTGTAATGAAAACAAACAAACACAGTTCATTAGGCTTTCTCTCTTTTCAAGTGACTTTGGAGTCCCATACAGTTACCAAAAGCTGCAGCATGCTTCTTGTCCAAATTAGGCTTACACATTTTGATTTTGATGTGGAGCCATGCATTAATTCATCTCATAATCTCAAATAATTTCCTCAAATTAATGTTTCAATAATTAGTATCTCGTTGCGTGTAATTGGCATGGATCTATATCCATATATACCATTTCATTACTTGTCACATATAATGAAGGTCCAAATTTACAAGATTTTATATGTATATATATCGATGGTGCTCCGAATCTAATGATGATTATGTTTGGATTGAAGAAAAATCTTCGATAGCGGAATCATTGCAAGGAATTGTTACAAATATTAAGTTGTTTCATTCATATAGACAATAATTTAGATAATAAAATATTTGATTTGATTAATTGTCAATTATAAATCTATAAAAGGCTTTGAACAACACTGGTTGACCCTTTAATATAATATTTAAAATAATATGTAAAATTGGTATGAATAACTCTCTCTCTCTCGTTGGATAGCACGTTAGAATGTGAAACGGGGGGGTCCCTGCGGACGAGACATGAAGGCCAAAGGCATGTGTGGTATCAACTTTCTCTATTTGCTTTCCCAAAAAAAAAACAATGGAAATAAACATGCATAGATAATCATTCCATCTAATTTTCTATGATAAATCACAAGAAAAGATAATGGAAATAGGTAATTTGATTATCTTTTTTCGGCGCTCTAATAAACCAGCGATTAAAAGAATAATAATAATAATAATAATAATAATAATAATATAATGATTGTTTCAAGTATCCATCTTAAGGGTTTTCATTATTTTCAAGTCATCAATGTTACAAGTGGAACATCTTTCAAATGGGCTTTAGGATTTCTGTAACGGTCGGTCCATGTTGGGCTGAGATATGAAACATAGATTCTTTTCAAGTTATCGATGTTACAAGTATACTATAAAGCGTTCTACTTCTATCGTAAAACAAATCGATTTTCCAAATTTAAAGTTCTTTATTTTTTGATAACCAAGAGTTTCACTGGATCTTCGGTCCACTTAATCCTATGGATTCGGAGTCAGCTGCCCCCTTCTTCCTACCAATGTAATCGAACCCATGACCTTGAGAATGACTTTGTCACCTCTCAATTATTGGATCACCAATTCTTGGATGATTTTCTAAATTAAAGTTACATGGTACAATTTCACGCCGAATTATTATTCGTTCACTCCGTCACACATATTTGATAATGTTTTAGAATCCAGATATAAAAAACAAAAAGCACTAAATGACAGCGAAGATAATTCAAATTTAATATTTGTTTAAAACTTGTATTACTAACCATACCTAAAAATATTTTTATTATAATACTAATAATTATAAGATGATGACGATTATGATGCATAGATCCATAAAAATTGGTTAAATTTGAGAATATAAGAGCATTGGAAAAATTAAGCCCCCGGTTAAGGGTAGGGAAGAGATACTAAAACGTGAGATTCATGATTGAGCAATTCTCCAAAGGAGGTAGTACGACTACACTCCGAAAGATTTGAACTCGAGTCTGACGAGTGTTTCCATGACGGATGATCGGCGAGAGGGTGTTCAGCGATTGGCTCTGCCCGCAGTCGATGGCGTCACAGATTAACGTTTGGAGTGGATAAGGTTATGTGATTTCGGTTCCAAGATATGTGATATCGATTATTGATAAAGAGTTTATTGTAATCACATTTGATCCTTGTATGCGATGTACTTGGATTACAGACATTCATCCTTGTGCGTGGAATACCTAGATGAGTTGTATAGTCATTGCATGCGACACGGTGGATCCGATGGCCATGTGTGTGTGTGTGCTACATATGGATATGAGATATGATACTCTTATACGACTCGTTTGGATTTACATATGTGTATGATGCACATGGAGATGAATTGACATTTTAGTCCTGGAGCATGGTTTTATTGTGGATGTGTATTGTGTTGTGTGATATATTGCATGATTGGTATTTAAAATTTTTATGATTTAATTTATTAGACATTGAATATTAATTGACATGTTAGACGTTGGGTTTTAGCCATTTCAATGAAAGTCGAATTTGCACGTTTAACCCGAATCACTCTCTAAGTATTATTTAGGACGTTGTTACGCAAAGTTTCAGGTGAGAAATAACACGTTTGGTAGCATGTGAGTGACGACCGAAGACAATTTATTTTTCAAATGTTTTTATTGGTAATTAAAATTTTAAAGTGTAATATATTTGTAACCTCATGTATTTTCTTATTGTGCGATTTGATTCATCGTTAATTTTTTTTAATTTCCCATACATTTACATAAATAAATATTTTAATTTGATTTTGTCCACGTGACACAATTCGTGAGCCAAATACGGGATACGGTTCTCACATTTTTCGTTTATTCATTTTTTTTCATTTTAAAAGCTTATCATTTGTTTTATAATAATTTATTTAAAATTATCTATTTACTAAGTTATAAATTTGTTTAAAAAATGATTAAGTTTATCTAAATTCTTTTCACCATTTTATTTTTTTAACTCCATTTTAAACTCTTATTTTTTTCATAACTATATTTTCAAATTTATTTATTACTATATTATAATCAATAAATTTTATTAAAAAATATTTATATTTTATTAAATTTATCATATCATTTCATTTTCTTACTTATTTTTCTATTTTAAATACTTCTCATTTAATTTAATTTAATTTTTTTAAAAGTCAATAAGAGTTTAAAAAACTGTGATGTCATGGTTTCACCTAGGAGTAGACACAGGTTGGATACCCTAATTTTTTGGGTATCCAGACTTCGTATTCGTCTTCGTCTTCGTCTTTACGGTTTAAAAAAACACTATCTCATTTTCGTTTTTTTGTAAAACTCGGATACTGATGGTTCGGGTACCTGTCGTTGAATTTAACTATCCGAAAATATCCGAACTTGTTAAAATCATAAGAAAATGTTGATTTTTGTTGATTTTAGAAGTATTTTAGTAATTTAATATGAAAATATTTTTAGTAATTATTGTAAATATATTAAAATTTCAATGATATAATTATCATTTTATTCAAATCTGAAAATATCTGTCGCTGTTCAAACAAAACTCGAATTCGAATCCACAGTCTAGATTTTTTGCTTCATAATACCCGTTTTCATCTTTGTTGTATAGAAAATCCCCGTATCGTTATCCGAAAACGTTTCAAGTACTCTAGTTTCACTATAATACTTTTAACCTATTAAAATTTTTAATCTCATTTTCTTTTCAAAATTTTCAGTATTTTAGATATATTCTCTTTGATTTAAAATAAGTAATACCAAATAAATTTGACGATTAGCAAATCAAAAGACTAGGAAAAGAAATAAAAGAAAAGAGAAAAAAAAAAGAAAATTAGCAAAAAACGGAGATTGACGCAACGCCGATGAAGTTTGAAATTAGGGCAAAACAGGGGGAGGACGATGATCTTTTGGTCGTTCCCACCGACGAGAAAGCAGATTGTTGTGTCGGTGACGTTCTTCGTCGTCGGAGCGTTGCTATTCTCCGGCGGTGCGTACCTTTCACTCGTCAACATCGGCCCTCAACAAGCCCGCGCCAAGGCTCGCTCCGATTACGTCAAGGCTCGTCTCCGGAAATGGCTCGATGATTAAGCTTTAATTTCATGTATCAGTGTTGTTGAATCTGTTTGAAATGCTCGATGAAGATGCCGAAAGGTTAGTGTAAATTTCGAGTTTTCTTCTTCTTCTTCTTCCAATAAACAAAAGATCGGTGGAGGGTTTTCGGTTCATGAACAAATCCTTACATTTGTGTCGACACTGTAATATTCCCACAGAAATCGAGATTCATGAGCAAATCCTTACATATATGCATCATCCCCTTTGGGATTCTGTGTTCGAGTTTTGGTTTAGTAGAAATGAATCTTGCAACCCCCCCCCCCTACTTGATCATGTTTTGCCGTTCTTCCTTATCTTCTGTCTGAATTTGCAAAATCTTGGCTACCTTCTGAGATGCTGTTTGAATTTGAAGCAAAATTTTTCTGAATTGAAATTCATCTGAAAGATGTCTCGAGCAATGTAGGTATATAAGCATCTCCAGATGCTAACACAGGTTTTATACAAAGAAAAGATTGAACTGATCAGAGCAGACAAAAGGACAAAAATGGTAAGGTAATGAGTTCTTAATACTATGTTCTTCAGCTTAGTTAAGTGTTCTTTCTGGATCATCACCATCTCGTTTTTCCACCATTCTGCCATTGAAACAGATGATCTTTATATATATAGCCTTTGTTTGAATTTCTGTAGGCTTGTGTTTCATCTGCAATCCCTTTAGGGTCTGCTTGCTCGTGTGCTTCCATGAAAAGATTCTACATTGCAGATCTTTGCTGTTATTCTTCTCCATATTCAGTTCTACGGAATTAAAATCACTTGAATCTTGTTCAAATCCATCCTCCACCTCCTCCTTCCCCGTTGTTGCCTCGGTAATTACATGTTTTTTTTACGTCCATGGGGACTTTCTCGTTGGATCGTTTAGCCTCGAGCTAAGCCCGAAGACGGGTCCTCGGCTTATCGACTGCTGCACCGGCTAAATGCTAAGGGCATCATCTTCCCTTACCCTTAAAAGACTCGCTCTTTAGTTCTTCAATCTTTTGTATTGGCTGATGTCTCCATCTCTTCTCGTCCTTGCATCAAATAGGATTGAAATCCCAGAAGAAAAAATGATTTGGAAATTTGTAGGATTTGGCTGTTTACTTGCATCATCTAAAATTTGTTCGGATCTTTCGAATATGTTTTTTTTAATGACAAACACGATCTAGTCGGTCGACTTTTTTAAGATGCAATCGGAACCACCATTTACATTAAATTCGATCTCAACTAGAACAAATTTCAGATGAACACACTGAACAAGTCGAGTAATATAAAAATACAACGTAGTAAATACATACAATTTATATTTGACCCTTTTCCACTCTTGCAGAAACCACGAAAAGGAAAAGACAAACAAGATGTTCTGTGTATGTATGTATGTATACATTTACATACACATATATATGGACAGAAAGCTAGGGCCTTTTGAGGGAGATACCGGAGATGACGACAAGAATGGTGAAGAAGACGACAGAGATGAAGGAAGAGACAACAGCTCCGCTTGTTTTCTGACAGAAATCTCCAAACTGCTGACATATCGCAAGCCAGTTCGTGTTCGGGTTCCCACTGTGTGCCAAATACACTATCGCCGCCGCCGCTGAGGCCGCCGCCGTGTTCAGCGTCAGAACGGCCTGAGAAAATACTCACACCAAATAAAAAAATATATATACATATATATTCGATCATGCATGTGGGTATACATGTATACATGTGATGTGAAGAGTATGGTCATTTATTACAGTGTCCAAAACCAGCAAGAGGAGCCTTGGAGCAGCTGCGAGTGGGCGAACAATGGTGACGACAGAGAATGGAAGGGACAAGACAAGGTATCCCGCAACTATCGCCATTGCAATCACAAAGAACCTGAAAAAATATGATCAAAGAACACATAATAATCGTTTCATTACAAAAAATAGAGAAGATATGAACATGAAATGAGTGGTCGTACTGAAAAGTAGGGAGATCGTCGTAGCTGGCTTGGAACTGGAAGAACTGGGTGAAGAAGGGAAGGGTCTCATCGCTAGTACCCATTGTTGCAGAAGCAGCAAGAGCTGCAACAATGGCGGCGATACGTAGGAGGAAATCGAAGATGGAGAGTCCTCTCTTGTACCCTCCTCCTGCTGCTGCTGATGCGGCTGAGCCATGGACGATGAGAGGAGCTTTCCCTTTGGCAACTGCGCTTGACTCTGGAACATCAATGGTGGTCGATTCGCTCTTCGCCATCTCTTCTTCTTCTTCTCTCTTTTTGATTTGGTGTTTGCTCTTTAACGATTTTAGAGATGATATTGTGGTTTGTGAATTTGAATGGGTTTTTTATAAGAACACGAGGGAGAGAGAGAGAGAGAGATGTCTGTGTGGTGGCTTAGTTAACATTGGGAGTTGAGAGTTGTTGATTAACTTCTCCACAATCGAAGATAATTCGTATCTTTCTCTTTATTTAAGCATTTTTTTAATGTAAGACTATAAATAAAGTCAGCCATATACATTTATAAATTTCAACAACGACTAAAAAAAGTATATAATAAACCCCTTTATATGATATTATTATAAGCATGGTATGGTATCTAATCCACCCAATCACTTCACAGGAAACAAATGAAAAGAATCAATTTTATTTTTTCAGATTTGTAGGAGGTATATCCATTCAGTTTAGTTTTTCTTTTATTAAAGAATACTTTTTTTAAAGAAATGTTTGTTTTTATATCAATTAATTTTGAAATAAGATTCAGTTATGATATATTTTATCAATTATATATAAATGTGTACCTCGCGTATATAAGGCTAGTGAAGAAAGCGAATTGTATCATCATTGTGTTTCTTATGGCAAAAGAAATAAGAAAACTCTTTATCTTTGGTGTTAAAATCTTGGTTCTCATACGTAAAATTCAATCAACCCAAAATGATATAATATACAGCCATACCTAAAATAAAAAATATTTAAATCCGATTGAATGTGGTTTTTTATTATAATAAATGTAATAGAGAGAACATATATTTTTTAAATATTTTTTTTTATTAAAAATCAAAACCGAAGAAACCAAACGAATTCCAAACCAAAAAATTTAACCCAGCAATGACAAGGAAAAATAATTGTATCATCATTATGTTTCATAGGTAAAATTCAATCAAACCAAATGAATAATCATACCTGAAATAAAAATATTTAAATCCGTTTGAAAATGATTTTTATTAAAACAACGAAATAAATATAAATATAATAGACAGAATTTTTTTTATATATATATATATATATATATTTGTTATAATATAAATCAAAACCGAAAGAAAAACAAACGAATTCCAAACCAAAAAAAAAACTGAGCTCAGCAATGACAAAGAAGCGAAACTTGCAACAAAACAGAGTTAAATTTTCATATTTGTTAGAATTTTTCAACATCTCATTTGATTTTTTTTATTCTATTATTATTATTATTATACCGTCTTCCAAAGATCAAATCAATATTTCATGTGTTTATTACTAAAACCAAGATCGGTTTCTTCTTTTGTTTTGCTCGCATTAGAACGATGCATGTGAAGCAGTTCCGTACACGAAAGATTCTGTTGAAACAGGAGAAGAACTCACATCGTACAAGAATTAAAGTGAATTTCAGACAGTAATTAACTAATTATCAATACGTAAAATAGACCCACAACTTATACGGGCAAACTTAAAAAATGTCCATACTTTGCTACATTGACTTGAGTGCGTACCCTGAAAAAAGATAGAAAAAAACACCTTCAAATACTACCCTTATAATTGTGTTTACCCCATAATACCCACCCATGTGGGATCCATAAATAAAAAACCTGACACGATACTGCAGAAAATTTAATGGAGAGAGAAAAAAGAGTAGTTTTTGGTTTCCTATAAAAAATTAAAAATTTCCTCCATTACAAAAAAATTAAATTTTTTGCTGGGAATTTTAAAAAATTTCGGTGTGTCTAGTGTGACCAATGTGACCAGAATTACAGTGTGACCAGTATGACCAGTGTGACCGTGTGACTAGAGTTTAATATTAAGTTATGTGACCTATGTGATCAGTGTGACACGTGTGATCAATGTGACCAATATGACCAGAATTTAAAATTTGAACGGTGTGATCTGTGTGACCAGTGTGACCAGTGTAATCTATATGACCACTATGACCTGTGTGACCAGAATAAATTTTGAACGGTGTGACCAGTATGACCAGTGTGACCATAATAAATTTTGAACGGTGTGACCAGTGTGACTAGTGTGACCAGTGTGACCAAAATAAATTTTGAACGGTGTGACCAGTATGACCAGTGTGACCAATGTGACCAGTGTGACCAGTGTGACTAGTGTGACCAGTGTGACCAGAATAAATTTTGAACGGTGTGACCAGTGTGACCAGAATAAATTTTGAACGGTGTGACCAGTGTGACTTGTATGACCAATATTAAATTTTGAATGGTGTGACCAGTGTGACGTACCTTTGTTTCATTGACAATATGTTCTATTTTCGCTCCGAAAATCTATTTGGGATTAGAGATGCGTTTTTGCATATTTTTTGACAGTTTTGCTCCGCAAATATCTTATTTTCATCAAATACCATGCGATTCACTTTAGATTCATAAAATTCAAACAAAAAAAAAAAGAAAGTTCATGCATCGAACCAATCTCATTTATTAATAAACTTACCTTCTATTCTTGTTACTTGTTCTGTCTTAACCGAATCGTGAAGGAGATATGAAGTCATCGATGGAGAAGTGTTCAATGGAAAAACTATTTCGTTTGTTTTTTTTTTGTGTAGAAATGAAATGAGAGTTAGAAAAATGAAGAGTTGAGAAAGAGAGAAGAGTTGAGAAAATGAAGAGTTAAAGAGATGGAGAGTTAAGAAATTCTGAGAAAGAGAGAATAGTTCAAAATGACTAATTGAGTGGAAGAGAGTGAGAAAATATTTTAATATTGATTTGTGTTCTATCACGTTACTTTTTAAAAGGGGTAATTATGTCTTTTGTATATTTTATTTTTTTATTAAACTTAGGTTTTGAAGGGTACTTCGTGAAGTCTTTGTAGCAAAGTAAGGGTACTTTTGCTATTTTGCCAACTTATATTTGCTCTTTCCAATCGTTAACACAAAGGATCGTATCTAATATGTTTCACAGATACAGGCTCTTCTTGAGTTTTTTTTTGAACCATAAACTATGTAATATAAAAAAAAAAACAGGAAGAGAACATACAAAAGCCATGGTTCATGGTCTTATATATAAGAGCCTGTACGTAATACACACACACAGATACAAGTAGTGGAAACTAGTGGCGTTTGAGGGCGACGCCTGATATGACGACGAGAAGAGTGAAAAAGACGACGGCGATGAAGGAAGAGACGACGGCTCCGCTTGTTTTCTGACAGAAATCTCCAAACTGCTGACATATCGCAAGCCAGTTCGTGTTCGGCTTCCAGCTGTGTGCTGCAGCTGCAGAGGCCGCCGCCGTGTTCAGCGTTAGAACCGCCTGCCAAAAGATTCAGAGGGGATTTAGTGCTCCATTGTTGACCATACATACATCTCTTACATGAATGATCTAGTTGTGTATTTGTGAGTATATGTTGTGTTTTGATGAGTTAAAAGGTTCTGTCATTACAGTGTCCAAAACGAGCAAGAGGAGTCTTGGAGCGGTTGCGAGTGGGCGAACGATTGTAACTACGGAGAATGGAAGAGACAGGACAAGGTACCCTGCAACTATTGCCATGGCAATCACAAAGAACCTGCAGCATGACAGAAAACAAAGGAAAAAGAATGAGACTTTTCTAAACAAAAAACAAAAAAGAAGATAAGACCAAGGAAGAAACGGATCCATATAAAGCTAGAGTTTCGATATGTCAGTACTGAAAAGTAGGAAGATCGTCGTAGCTGGCTTGAAACTGGAAGAACTGGGTGAAGAATGGGAGGGTCTCATCGCTAGTACCCATAGTGGCGGCGGCAGCAAGAGCTGCAACAATGGCGGCTACGCGAATAAGGAAGTCAAAGATGGAGAGTCCTCTTTTGTACCCTCCTGATGGATGTTCTCTCACTTCCCCAATGAGAGGAGCTTTCCCTTTAGCCACCGAGCTCGACTCTGGTACATCAATGGTGGTCGTTTCGCTCTTCATCATTTGGGCTGATTTTGTGTAAAGTTCCTTGCTTTCTTTGTGGAATCAAGAATTTAAGAGAAGGGTTTTGAAGGATTCTTTGAGATGGGTTTGAATGTGAGTTAAAAATGATAATATGATCTTATATAGTGTGTGCGCATATGAGAAAGGGGTGAAGCAAAGGCTTTTAGTGTGTTAAGTGAGAGAGGAATAATGGTTGATGCCCTTTACCTTCTCCACAACTCTCAAAACAAGTTTCAACTAGAACACTTGTGGCATGAAATCTTTGGTTATATGCTCATATCTCGTGATTAAATAATTAATGTGGTGTGTTTGTTCCTTCCATGTAACAAATAATAATAAAATTAGTTGGTCAAAAGCTTTTGAGTTATATTAATATTGTTACCATCATAATCAAACACTTTGAATGCCTGCTTTAAAATAGTTTTTTTTCAAGACTGCTAATGCACAACAACTAGAATGACACTGTGAACCTCCCAAGAATAATAAATATCTCATCTAAGGACAAAAGGAGACACAAACCGCTAAAACACTAGAGAAAAAAGAACATAGACAAAAGGGTCTCCTTGCTGTTCTTTGTAATCAAACCCTAATTTCCTATGAATCTTTTGAGGGAGCAAAAGATAGGAGATCCTTCCCACATTCGACATATGAGTCCCATAGAATCAGCTAAGGCCTTGTTACTGTTGCATTCTGTTCCCCGGAAAATGAAAACCCTTTTCAGTGAAATACTTCTACGTGTCTCACCCCGATGTTATGCAGCAGCCGGATTTCTGCAGATCTCTCTCTCTCTCTCTCTGTTCAACTGGATCCCATTCTCTTTGCAAGCGGTGAGTTTTGGGTTGAGGTAGATGAGGGTAGTGGAACATAGCCGTTGGCTTTTGTGTTGTCTTCTCCAGGAACATTGGATCTTGATGCAGTGGTGTCTCTCAAGGAGGAACCTTCCGAGACCTCCCGTTGTAGCATTTCCATTTGCCTCAAGGATGGAACGTCACCTTTGCAGTACCTACGCCACATCTCCCGGTATGCGGATTCAAGAGCAACCGTGAAGTTAGGGCCGTCACAAACAGGGGATTTAGCCATTAGATCTCGGAGCCTCATCCTCAACTTGGCAAGGGCTTTAACATCGGATGCCAGTTGAATGGCTGACTGAACATATTCATCTTCGTTTTTTGCAACCAGATGCCCTAGTCCTGAATCAAGAAATGATACATAAGCTAAAACGATATTATGACTAGATAACCGACAAAGGAGCATATTATGATGCATAAGTGGCTTCTGGAGAACTTCATAGGGACCTTTTAATATAACATGCCAGTTAATAGCAAAGGTCAGAACGGAAACGTGCTTACCAACTTTAGTAAGAAGACTGACACCTACATTGTGAGCATGTTTAATAGCAAAGGTCAGAACGGAAACGTGCTTACCAACTTTAGTAAGAAGACTGACACCTACATTGTGAGCATGTACGAACCCAGCCATTGTAATGCATGGAACTCCCATGTAGAGAGATTCACATGTAGTGGTAGTTCCAGCATAAGGAAAGGTGTCCAAACTGCATAAACAAATCATTTGTAAGAATTAGTAGATAAAGGATATGCTAGATTATACAATTTACATGATAATATCATGAAAATCCAACTGAGGTAAACCAGAATATGAGAAAAGTCCGGGAAAATCAGCTCAACTATTAGCAGAGAATGGATCAGAAATCGAAGAGTGTATATGTTGAACCTTACCTGATATCCATTAACGAATAAGCTTGCAAATGGTCGTGGTTGAAAAGAATTAGTGGCAAAAGATCAACCCGCATTGATTCTAATCCCAACTGCTCCAGTGTCGTGAGAAACCTCTGTCTGATACTATCACAGCAGAATGGCTTGCATTTGACCACTAAACGAGAATCAGGAACTGCACATAGTATTCTTGCCCAAACTTGCAACACCTTGGGTGTGATCTGATTACAGGAAAGATGAACAATTAAAAAGATGATAATAAAGAAATTCAATCAAACACTTAAAAACACTTAATGGAGAGCTTTGGTATCATCCAAAGACAAATAACTACCTTTGCAAGATTGTTAAAACTACCAAATGTAACAAAGCCATTGGAAAGTGCAGGAGTTGGACAAACAGGACCAGCCTCTGCTGAAGGTGTATAACACAGAAAGCACTCCGGAAGCCTAATCAGCTCCTCAACATGCCTGCAAACAAAAAAAAAATAATGAAAACAAAGAACGATTTGGACCATTTACATTTGGCCAAATATCCTGTTGTTATGATCTACTTGAATTTTAAATTACTCAGAAACCCCAGAATTCTTCTAAAACGATTCCTCCTCACAGAACGACTGAAACTAGAGCTACAACTTACTTTTGTTCGGTATCTGGTGGATCGGCCAAGGAATCCGTAATTCTATAGTCAACAGAGGGTAAACCTGTAGTATTTGGATACCCGATCCATGTAACCTGACATATATAACCTGACAAATTAGCCCACTTGACGACAACTGGAATGTCAACTGCAAATCCAAAAGAATATGAGATAATATAATTTATATTATCACAAGTGTACCTGAACAGGTGCTGGCCTGCAGGCCATGGCTCCCAACTTGTTGTTGGCTGTATGACCAGTTAGTTCTACCAAAATATCAATCTTGTCTTCTCTTACCATGCTTGCAATTTTTTTCTCATCTATCCCATATACATCCTTCCACATTCCACCCTTCTTCAAGACTTTTTCCTTGAACCTATATGTTTTTGCATCTGCCTGCAACACAATGAGCAGTAACATAGACACCCTTGTCCCAAACATACAGAATGGCAAACACAAGCACCATGAGAGGGAAGAATTTGGGAATCAAATATGCGAGGAAAAGAGATCTTTACTGTATATATACTATATAGATAGCAAGTCAGCAACATAGTCGTTCGGTTCGATTTGAAAACCAAAACACGCTGCAGTGATCCTAATAACATCAATTGAAAATTTGAAAGGAAATTCCAGACATAGCGAAGGATGGAAGAGCCGTTAAAACTACAAAAAATTTTGTAATGCTTTCCAAGATAATTTTAATCCACCTATCAGGTCTTCCCCTGGCCTACATTTTAATAGAAAGACTAGATATTGAGTGGCAGGAGACGAAATAAATATTGGGTCACAGGAGACAAAGCAAATAGAAATTGATCATAAGTTTTTGAGGGAGGACCCATACCTTAACAACGGCTGAATAAACCACCACTTTGTAATTTGTACAATCATGATGTGCAAGAGGCGCTCCAATGAAATAAGATACAGAATGTGTGAAGAAATCGGGGGAAATATATCCAATGACGAGAGGTCGCTCCGGATCTTTTGAATTGTCCCATGACGTGTACTGTGGATATAACTTCATGAATCGTCTACCCCAGTCTCTGAATTTTCATAAGAGTTTTGATCGAGTCACATTAAAGCACCAATCAGTAAACCCAAGTCAATAAAATCTGGAAAATATCAATATATGCACAGACCTGTGAGCCTCAAATAGTTTGTCATCATGTCCTTCATTAATGTAGTTCATGGCAAGTAATCGATTCTGTATAATAAACAAAAGGTTCAACGCATGGAACACTTAAGTTTGATGAAGAAAGAGAGAGGACCAAGAAAAACGATATCCAAGACCTACCTGGCCAGCATTGCGAGAATCTGGATCTATCCTAAGGCACTGTTCGTAGGCATCAATTGCCATAGGTATATTTCCAGCATCTCTGTAAAGAACACCTACATTTGAATCATACAATGAAGTCTAGTTACAACAGAAGAACAATGAAAATAAATACAATATTTGTCAACTATGTCAAAAGAAGATGTTGGATACAACAACAACAACAACATCGCCTTAATCCCAAGTTTATTTGGGGTCGGCCGCATGAATTCTTCTTTTCCATTCATTTCGGTTTTGCGTCATATTCTCTGATATTTGCAACATATCCAAGTCATTTCTAATGACTCGTTCCCAAGTAAGTCTAGGCCTATCCCTTCATCGTTTCTTCACTTTCATCCTTATAATCTCTAATTTTCTAACTGGAGCATCTAGCGGTCTACGTTTTACGTGTCCAAACCACCTTAAACGTCCCTCGCGTAATTTCTCTTCTATGGTTATGACTCTAGTTTGTCCCTAATACTCTCATTTCGAATTCGGTCTATTCGTGTATGTCAGCACATCCATCGCAGCATTTTCATCTCGGCCACACACATTTTGGACACATGTTGTTGTTAAAGAGAGAATGTTAGAACTGTAATAGAATACTATAAAAGGGGTGTTCTCACTGGAACACATGAAAAATACCAAATAGCCTATGGATAAGGACACAGTTAAACGAAAATAAGAGTCATAGTATTCTATTACAGTTCTAACATAGTAATCACAAAAAACAAGGTTTCCTGTTGCATGAAAAGATTATCTAAATACCATGAAGCATAACTAAAGGCATCCTGTCATTAAATACAAATTTGAACTGCTTTTCTGGAAGTTCATACGAATTGTCAGGAGTTGGCGGTAATATGTGCACCCGAATAGAATTTCTAGAAATAGACAGTGAAATGAACAAGCATTGGAACAAACAGAAAGAAATGCGGACCTAGGTTATTATATGCTTCTGCATAAGTTGGATTTGCAAGGATAGCCTTCTCAATCATGCTGGCAGCAGCATCCATTTTTCCCTGTCGAAATCGAATCAAGAGAATTGTCATCCAATTGTTTCTAAGAAGAGCCAATTAAGCAGACACAGAGATATAATCTGTAACGAACCTGGACTGTGTAAACAACGCCAAGGTTATTCAATGATTGTGCGAAGTTCGGTTTGATTGACAAAGCCATCTACACAGATTCAGAACATTCAGAAGACACAAGTGACAAAGAAATAAGGGAAACTGCTGCAGATCAGAAAATTTACCTGGTAACACTCCACAGCTTTATCAAGGTTGTCACGATCTTTGTAAATCACACCCAGATTGTTGCAAGCCTCAGCACAGTGTGGATTGAAGTGGAAAGCAAGCTCATAGAAGACAATTGCCTGCACATAAAGAAAGCAACCGTGATCACAGGCAGCTAAATGGCTTTGTCAAAATACAAAATAACATAAGAAAATCCAAGGTCAATAGAAATAAGACACATTTGCTTTCTCAGCCTTAAGTTTCACAGCTTAATAATGGCAACATAAATCTCCATATGGTGTTTCGTATTGATAGTACGAGAATATGGAAAGTGATATAGTGAAAGGAGAAAACGACAGGTAACAAAACATAACAAGTTCTCGATGATTATAAGCAGGTACCCTTTGGGGCTCACATTGAAAACAAGCACACATTTACAAATAAAAAAAATAGTAAAATGCCACAAATCATGTACCATATCAAACTTCAGCATTTCACCATAAGCCACCCCAAGATTGTACATAGCATCAGCATAGTGCCAATTATAATACAAAGCCTTCTTGTAATATGCCACTCCCTGGTTCACGTCGCCTTCAAGTTTAATCTGGAAAATGTTTTCTCAGTTAAGGCTGATTAGATATACATAGCTGAACAACCAGTGGTCGGTGAATAAAGAATGAAATAATTTTTTTCATCACAAAATGAACTTCTGCATGGAAAATCTTTGTTATTGAAGGAAGAAAGCGTATTTCACTGTCAATGGCACATCTAGGTCAAAGGCATAGATAGCAAAAAGTCACCAAAGAAAACAAAATTATATGAAGAATTTCTGGAATAAAACATATACCACGAAGCACCAATAAACATATTGGCTACTCCCAAAATGTAAGGCAACACTTTACATAAGGCCTCAATAAAATTTCGGAATAGCTTCTGGTGGTAAATAAGTCAACATTTACAAAAACATTAAGGCACACAATTTGTATCTCAAAAGTAAATAACTTAATAAAAGAACTCAAAAGGAATTGGATATCACACAAGAGTTAAATCTCAATGCAAAAGAGGATAAAACTAGCATGAAGAACGGCATACAAAAATAGGATGATAGTAAGGGTTTTTACCTTTGTCCCTAAATCCGTTAGAGCTATAGCCATATTATTCTTTGCAATCTCAAAGTTAGGAGAGACAGCCAGACATCTAATGGCAGAAAAGAAAGCAATACAACATGTGTCATTCTTTCACAGAACTATCAACCGCATTAAGACATTGCCAAAAAATATTATGATAAAAGAACAGATGAGATACCTCTCATAACAAGCAATTGCTGTCTCCAAGTCACCACGATTCTTATAGATGACCCCCATGTTGCAATATGCTTCAGCATACATAGGCCTCTCTAGTGCGGCTTTCTCATAACAACTCAGGGCAGAGTCATATTGCATCATTTCAGAATACACAACACCTAGGTTGTAATATGCAGGCTGCATGAAAAAAAAAAATCAGCATATTGAATCAGAACACTCAAAATACAACATGAAGAACAAAACAGAAGCAATAAGGTAAAAGACAAAACAATGCAAAAGATCAGGCAATTACAGCATAGTGCGGATCAATCTTAAGAGCTTCATAATATTTTTGAATTCCCTCCTGAGTATTTCCAGCCAGCTTTAGGCTAGTCCCAAGGTCAGTCAAAACAACAGCTAAGGACTCTGCCGCTGGTTTGTATGAAGGGTCTGCCATTAATGCTTTCTGATAAGACTATGCACAGTAAAATGATTGCAAATTAGAAACTGGCTTACTTAGAAGATACCATCAAGGAGGCTTCTCATATCATTTAGTTAACAGGTTATAAGGTCAGGCCAAGGGCCAACCTTCTAAACCTACATAAGTCATCAACTAGTGCAAAGTACATCAACCTGAGACAGGAAAGGTGATTTTCGAACCTCGGCAGATTCTACCAAGCGCCCTTCATCTTTATGAAGTATACCAGTGTGTGTGAGTGCACAAGCATTATGCGGGTCCAACCTAATAGCTTCTGAAAAACTATCCAAAGCTAACCTCCCTTTGTTTTGCATCTGCAAGCATATCCCTTTTCCGATATGTGCTTCAACATTTCTGCTATCCTTCTCCAATACGATCTCATAGAGAGCAAGAGCATCAACAAACTTGTTCCTTGACCTTAGAATGTTGGCATAAGAAATTGCATCATTCCCTTGGAAACCCTTCTGTGCTGGAGCAGCAACTGTTGAAGGAGTACTTGTACTAGGAGAAGATTCAGGCTCTTTTGAGAAACCATTTTCCACAACCGTTAATCTCTCTCCCCCCGCAACGTCTCCCATCCCGCCCATTGCAGTATTTAAACTTTTATCTTCCTTCACCGAAGACAATCAAAAGAAACCTGAAAACTGCAGGAAATTAGACGTGCACCTATGCAATTGAAAGATGCCAGATGCAGATATAAAATTAAATTCTGCGCACAAAGCAGGATGCAAATACAGGACTAAGAAACTATGTGGAGACCAGTTAGAAACCCCAAAAGTGATATTTTCCTGTACCAAAAGCTCCTCGTCATGTACAATTCCACGAAACCTAAAATCACATAGCCAAACAAGAACGCACCATAGACATAAAAATCAGAGCAAGAACAAAAACAGAAATGCCCATGAAAACATAAGCATTTCAAAGATAAACCCTAAGAACAAAATCAATAAACCTACAAAGCTACAACCAAAACAACGCACAGAAATGCCCATGAAAACATGAACATTTCAAAGATAAACCCTAAGAACAAAATGAATAAACCTACGACCAAAATAACGCACCCGAATCCGTTACTAAAATAAATAGATAAACACCGCTACAATGAGGGTTTAATAGAGAACTTACATCAGAATCTAGCCGACGAAAACTTGCTTCTGTAGTTCTCATAGCCAGCCGCTGCTTAACTTAGACACCAGCGGCTAAAGAGAAAGGAAGCAACTCATAACAATGGAGAGTAGTCACAGATGAGGACTGATCTCCGCCGAAAACAAGCCTTAACCCTCGCTCGTCAGAGAGCGAGATAAAGAAAGAGCGTGATCAGTAGCAACTACAGATTACCTTTCCAAGCCAAGATCAGGCGGCGGAGTCGCAGCCTCGCCGTGAAACCGCAGTGGCAACGAAGACGGCGTCTCCGGTGGCGAAGGTACAAGGCCGGCAGGAACCACGGAGATCGGAGAGAGAGCTCCTGGGTTTGTTTTCTGAAAAAAAAAAAAGATTTTTTTATTATTTTATTAGAAAGAAGAAAGTCAGGCGACATGATTAGCATCCTCGCCCCATAAGTTTTACATAATGACAAATTGGACCCCAAGTTTTCCAATATGTCACACTTAGGTCCAAAATAATTTTCTGGTACATTATCATTGCAACCAGTTTCACAAGTGGCGTCCGAAATTTGGGATACTGTCGGCGGCCATTCGCGGCTTGTGCCCGTTGCTGTTGACATGACATGTCCGGTCCCATAGCAGCCTTTTTTTTTTCCAAATAATAAATAATTACGATATGAAAAAACAAAGTAAAAGACGTGAGAAAAAGATTAATAATATCGTTGACAAAAATATACAAGTAAAATCGATGGTAAGAAAATGTCGGAATAATATCATAATAAAAGAATATGTGTGGGTGATGATTGATATGACTATAATGATGGCCAGATATGCAAATATTCACGATACTTGTCTATGTACGGTGATAAATTCAGACATTATTTTTAAATTTGGGAACGATAATGTAATTTTAATTACATAATTTATTTTTAAATTAGAATTAGTCTGTATTTCGATCCAATACATTCGGTTAGTAAAGATAAAGATGTATGGCTGCTCATTGTCAGTAAAAGTCTAACCTATAATCGAGGTTTTGCATAATATTAAATCAATATATAAACTCCAAACTCTTAAGGATTTTATCTAATAAATTTATAAATTAGATTTGATGGTATCTGTTCATCTATATAAATTCCGGTGCACCTGTTCCTCGTGTACTGGGCTTAGTAGAAAAAGCCCATGGGCCATTAGAGAGCACGGGGAAGGGTAAAATAGTAAATAAATAATTCGCTGCACATATATATATATCGTCGCTTACCGTCGCCGTTTCTCGTCCCTGTTCGCGAGTTTGTAGGGTTTTTTTCTTCTTGGGGTTTGATTGGAAATTAGGGTTCTCTGATTTCCCATCAAAATTTCGTCTCATTTTCTTTCGCATTCATCGAATCTCCGTGTTATCTTGCGCGGCCCTTAAGATCGCCTTCCCGAAATGAGAAATGGAAGCGTTTCGAGTCATAGCTGCGCCAAAGCAATAATTTTTTAGGGTTTTTTCCTCTCTAGGGTTCTCCTATGGAGGAGCCCGTCATTTTCCCTCCCGATTTTGATTGCCGAGGCAGTCCCGACGTCAGGATCTGAAATCGAGATCCCCG